GCTCCGTTGAGTTATTTTATTTCCTAAATCCTAGGCCAAAAGCCTAGACCACCGCCGCAGTTAACCCTGTAAGTGTGGTGGCCAGGGAGAGGCTCGGGGGATTTCTTTGCGGGGGCTGGGGGGGCAGAGGGGTAATTCCGATTGGTTGAAGTGGAACCCCACCCCACCGCACCAACTCCAAAACGAGATGGGCCGACTCCCGGACTTGGAAAGACCACAGGACCGAGGAACCTCGCGCCCCCCTCCAACCCCCGCCCTGCTGTCACTGGGCCGAGGCGGAGTGTGTGCGTGTGTGTGTGTGTGTGTGTGTGTGTGTGTGTGTGAACGCGCGCGGATTGCACGCGTCTATTAATTTCAAGCCAAGCTTTTGCACCTCTAAGCCCACACCTTTTGCTACACCTCCCCCAAGCCGGGGTAGTCTGTCTCAGAACAAGCGTGCTTCTTCCCTGAGCCCACTTCAACACCCACCGGACAAACGCGTACTCACACCTCCTGCGGCTACCCCAGGGGCGTCCCTGCCCCGCCCCCCCCCAAAAGAAAAGAAACCTGGAGTGTATCAGATTGCAAAAGCGATTGTCTAGCACTTGACGAGGTTAACTCCAGGTTAATTTCCCCATTACCTACCTGGATCTGGTTCCCGACGCGTTCCACCCCCACCGTCACCAGCAGAGTGGGGCTGTGCGGCGTCTAACAACAGCACACACGCTCTCTCACTACGGATCTCGCACACACCTCTCCTACGTTTCGCTCTCCTGCAAAACTGTCCCCACCCAGTAAGTAAATAGACCCTTTTCCCCGAAAGCCGAGAGACCTCGGTTCTCCGTCTTCTCATTTTCCTAGGGTTACCCTCTTCCTCTTCCACCGCAAAACACACACCCTTGCGCGGACCGCCGACCGGGCCAGTGGTACCTGGCGCAGCCAAGTACGCTGCGGGAACACAGCTCCGGTCTTAAAGGGGAAATCCAAGCTGCCACCGCCCCCTCCTTCTTTCGCGACTTAGTTTTCGGCTCCCAGAGCCACCGCCAGCACTGGTGCCCAGGAAGCTGACTGCCTGGAGCGTCAAGGGGAGGCAAAAGCGGCTAAGGACCCGATACCCCGTCGGACCCGCGCAGTGCTGGGGGCCTCCAGAGGCTCCAGGATCCTGTGCTCGGTCTCCCGCGACCAGATCAAGTCAGCCTAGAGAGCCCGCTCGGGTCGGAAAACCCCTCTGGTGAGACCTCCCAGAACCTGCGCACCTGGCGCCAGTGGTCTCTGAACCGCGCCGCAGGCGGGCAGTGAAGCCGGGTCGGACTAGGCTGAGAGGCGAGAAGGGGCGTGGCGGGGACGGCGCCTTCGGACTCCGGCGCTCGCTGGCCAGCCCGCGGTCGCGTCGGTCCCGCGCTCGCAACTAGCGGACCCCGGAGAGGAGTGAGCAAGCGCGCCCTTACCTGTAGCAACCAGTGGCCGGTCTCTCCGATGAG